AATAAGTAAAAGTGTCACTATTTGTAGATGATATGATACTATATATATGTGTGTGGGGTGTGTGTGTGTGTGTGTGTGTGTGTGTATGTATATATATAACCCTAAAGAATCCACCTAAAATTAATAGAATAAAAGAATTCAGTAAAGTAGCAGGATACAAAATTAATATACAGAAACCTGTTGCATCCCTATATATTAATAATGAACGATCGGAAGGAGAAATTAAGAAATAATCCCATTTACAATTGCATCAAAAAAATAAAAAACTAAGAATACATTTAACCAAGAAGTGCAAGTCCTGTACTCTGAAAACTATAAGACATTGAAGAAAGAAACTGAAGAGGACACAAACAAATGGAAGGATATATCATTCTCATGGATTGTAATGATTAATACTGTTAAAATGACCACACTACCAAAACCAATCTACACATTCAATGCAGTTGCTATCAAAATACCAATGATATTTTGGTATAATGTAAATGAAGGCAAATCCCGGATGATACTGGCCATTTCTCTTACTTAAACATTCATTCTGTTATTCTCTTTACTTCGTTACTGACACAAGCTTCCATTATCTCCTCATTTTCAGAATCTTTTCACTATCCCTATTGGTACTGCTGATCTATGATAAACGCCTCCAGAACTTTAGTTTCTTTTCTAAACCCCCAACAACTTTCCTTAATTGAAACCTAATTCTTCCCGGAGGATACATCCTCCTCTGTAGACTTTTCATCCTGGTTATTCCCTCATACCCAAAAGGCTTCAGGGGCAGGAAGCAAAGTTCTCTGCTACTTTTTCAAACATTGCTCCTCTAAAATTATGGGGAAAAAATAACTATTTTCCCTTAAGTGTCATGTCATCTCCTCCTCATAGACATTCTGTCCTGGACATTTCTGCTTCATTCCATGGGAACCATGACCCTTGATTCAATCTTCTTTTACATTTCAATTTCTGCCACCAACTTTTGTGATTTCAATGTCCATGTGGTTAACCCATCCAAGGGCCTGGCATCTCGTGACCAACTTGTCCATCTCCAGTGATGTGACCCTTTATTCCATCTCAGATACCCATTCCTACCATCACTCTGGACCTTGTCATCACATGACACTAAGTGAAAACATTCCCCTTTCTAACCACAGTCCCCTATCTTTCCACACTTCTTGCTCAGCTTTTCCTCTCATATCTGTTCCTTGATATCCTTGGGACTTTTAGTCCACTAACCTTTCTACTTGCCCCTTCCTATCAGCCCCTTTCTAGCTTCACTTTTCTCTTTATTCCACTTAGATTTCATGGCCCACAATTCAAATACATCTCTTGGGACATTTTTGCTTCTCTGTTCATCCCAGATACAGCATATATTTCTTCAATTAGTTCTCTTGTATCTTCATCTTTTTATTATATTATTTGTACTAATATTTAAGGATGCCCAAGTCTCTCCTGATTGCAAAAACATCTTTCCTGAACCCCCACTTTCCAAATGCTATCCTCTCTCTCTTCCTATATTCACAGCCAATCTTGGTGGAAAAGTTATCTACATGACTGCCACTCTAGTTTGGACTCTGGTCCCTCTGCCACACTCAAGCTGGTCCTTCCAAGGCTACCCCTTATCTCCACATCCTAAATGCAATGGATAGTTCTCAATACTCTGATCACTGGTCACATCAGCAGCATTTAACAAAATCGATATATCTTCCTTTACAACTTTATTCTTGGCTTTTGTGTATTTTACTACCTCTTTCTTCATACCTTACCTCTCCTTTCTCCCATTTTTAAATCCAGGAGTTCCGGAGGACCTTCTCTTCTCAGTCCTGAGCCAATCCCACCCACCCCCACGTCTACTTCCTGTAACTTCTATGTGTTCACATGGAACTACAGTATCAAACTTAATGAAATATAGACTTCTAGGCGCATATTAAGTACTCTCTACCTCCAGAATTTAAGAAAATTGAAGTTTTTCACTAGGCCTTGCCCTTCCTCTCATCCCTTCGCTTCCCTGAAAGAATCTAGAAAGGAACTCCTTTGTTTATTCATCCTCATCAAACCGGCCAGGGCTCAAATTCCCTGACCCTTTGTAGCGCTCTATTTTTCTTTAAACTGACAAATTATCATAAATAATCCAAGTAATACAGAAATAAACAAAGATATGTTTTAAAAAATCACCTTAAACTCTACCATCCATAAATTGCTATTAAGTAAACATCTTACAGACATCATTCTAGGAATATACACAAACAGAAACAGGAATAGAAATATTTTAATAAAATATGGGATCAAACTGTAGCCCTTTATTTAAAAAATCCATTTTACTTTATATAAATTAAAATGTATTATTTTTTATATAAATTAATATATATATAAATATAATATATATAAATTTACTTTATATAAATTAAAATGTATTAGAAAATGAAATAAAATAATTGAACTTTACATAAATAGTTCTTCCTCACAGAGAGATTATTTTCTTAAAAAAATGACATTTCTCTAAGTTAATACTTCTATGCTGAGGAAGCAGTCATGAGGAAGAATAATAGGGGAGTCAGTAGGTTGCAAACAGGGGATACCTCCAGGTTTGGTTTATATGTGTTTATAATTTTATAAAGATATTTGCTGAAGACTTTGTGAATTGGTAAAGAACGTTCCAGCAATATGAAAGTAGACTTACAGAATGTTATCTGACTATATGAGTATTCACCTCAACCAAAGAAGTGATTTGCACATCTGATATTCAATTTCTAGTTGTCTAGAGGAGAGGTCAGCAAACTTTTTCTGTAAAGAGTTAGATAGTAATATTTTAGGTCCTGTGGACTATATTAGTCTTCTATTGATGTGTAACAAGTTACCACAAATTTAGTAGCTTTTAAAACACCCATTAATTATCTCATAGTTTCTGTAGGTCAGAAGTCTGGGTAGGTCCAACTTGGTTCTCTGCTAAGGATCTCATAAGGCTGTGATAAAGGTTTTGGCTCAGCTGCCCTCCTGTCTAGAGGCTCTGGGGAAGAATCTTCCAAGTTCATTAAGGTGTTGTCCAAATTCAGTTCTTTGCAGTGGTAGGACTGAGGCTCCTACATTCTGGCCGGCAGTTGGCCAGAGCTCAGAGGCCTCCCTCTTGGCTCCTAGGGGCTGCTCTCAGGTCCTCCTACCATGGACCCCTCTACCTCAGTACCAGAGAACTTCATGTTGAATGCCTCTCATGCTTTAAATCTATTTTTTTCTGCTACCAAATCAGAGAAAACTGTTTGCTTTTAAAGGGTTCACACAATTGGGTTAGACCCACCCAGAAAATATATTATCTTAACATCAACTGATTAGTAATCTTAATTACATCTTCAAAATCCCTCTGCCACATAACATACCATAATCACAGGAGTAATACCAGGGAATGAAGGTCATGGGGGTCATTTTAGAATTCCATCTACCACAGTCTGCCCTCTGGTCCCCATGATTCACACACATCCCACATGTAAAATGTATTCACCCCAGCCCAAGGTTCCTAAAATTCTCATCCTATTACATTATCAGTTCAAAGTAAAAAGTCCCAACATTTGAATCTAAATCTCGTCATCTCAAAGTGCAAAATCTTATCTAAATCATCTAAACCTGGTCAGTATATATAATAACAGCTCTTGATGTAATCCATTAAGTACAACTTCCATGTAAAATTCTTCTGACATATGGACCTATGTAACTAAAGAGACAAGTTATCTGCCCCAAACACTTCCAACCTTTAACAATTAAAAATTAAAAGGTGACAGTAAATATAGTATATCCCTATGGGTTTGCAGGCTAATGTTTATTGGGAAAATTGACCACTTGGTATAATTTTAAATTTCAGAATTGACATTTTGGGAAATGCCTTTTTAAAAAAATGATATCAGTAGTTTATCAGAGGAAATAAAAACTGCAGGCAATTTTTTCTGAGGAAAGAAGCCAAATCGAATACTCTGCCATTCTTAATAACAATTTACAAACTTTCTCATTATTTGGTCTGAGTGATCACTAGCTAAAATGGTATATGGTTCTACTGTGAATGAAGGACCTGTAAGATCAAATGCTGCATGGTATAAATTCAATGAGGCTAACCTTGGACTTATGCTTACACATTTAAAAACTTAAAAACAACCCTAAAATATTATACCATTATTTTAAAATAGAAATCTATTCTAAAATCTGTGTGTGTATATTATAAAAATGTCTTTAGTCAGTATAACAGAGGAGTAAATATATTTTTTCATAATTTACATTAACAGCATATCGCAGATTTCTCATAATCTAAATAACTATGTGGTATAATGTATCTCCCTGGTTTAAATAAACAGTGCAGCTCTCCTGTGAACCACAAAGGCTTGTGGGAATTTAGGTAAAAATATGGTGAGAGAGACTTGTATGTGATTAGAACCTGGAGGAAAAAAGAGAAGAGACCGCAGTACTGAACTTAAGTATTCTCCCAGAAACACTACAAAATCTTTGTTTAAAAGGGTGAAAAGAGGCCTTTTTTTTTTAACTTAAAAAAAAAAATTACATAGCAGTTCTGGAAAGATAATCTGATCTAGGCAGTAGTACATATTCTATAAGAGCAAATAATTTCAGCAGTATACCAAAGAAGATATGGAGCTAGGTAATTCTTAAAGTATCACCTAGTTTTAACCTGGAAAGAAAACAATAAATTCTATAAGAAGTTCAGATGACATAAAAATCAACCATCTACTGCAAGTTTAACAAAGAAACAAATGTTTAAGACACTGGGCTAGATTCTGTAAAGAATAAAATAAAATACGTAAAACAAATCATATATAATCTTCAAGGGCCACTTTGATAAATGAGAAAAAAATTATACCTACCTATCCAGGACTTAGAAATTTTGTAAAGGTCTTTTATAAATTACTATGTTAAAAAAAGACTGAAAAAGTTGTTGGGTTTATCATAGATTTTGAAAATTGTGCATATTATATACCATGAACTTAAACTGTATTCAGGCTATTTGATCAGATACTCACAGAATGATTGTAAGAAGGTTCCAGTATCACAGGTAATGACATTTTCCCTTGAAGATTCAATTTTGTTAAATAAAAAATCTTTTCCCCCACAATCTTTTCTTTTTTCATGCGATGTACACCATACAGTCTAAACCGAACTGCATAATTTCCAATCATCTCAGATTCAACATGATTAAATTTGAATGTTTCTGTGAAGACAGGGCATGGTCCTCTCTGGATGCTGGTTTTTGCTCTCTGTTTCTTTATAGGTAGAAGAACAAGGTGTACTTGCCATGAGTTGCCACCTGTCCTGTTATATGTTGGGATATCTGTGACAGCTGTCACTGTTACCAGAAGCTTCTGTTCTTGTGAGTCATAGTCAAAAGTCACATCCAGTGTGCCATATTTAGCTTCTGGCTCAGGATCAAAAGGTTTAGGAAGCTGTGAAGACGATCCTTGAGCTGATATGTCCTAAAAAACCAAATTTAAATATTTTCTGTTTTTAACACTATTATTTAATCTAGCATGTAAATAAATACCTGATATTGCTTTAGGAAGATGACGTGAAACTGTTTTGATTTGCTACTACAAAGAAAGTAATAATATCAACAGTCAACTACAATCAGAAGCTACCCTACAGGGCCAGAGTAGTATAAGTCATAAGTTAAAGTAAAAAAAGCATCATAAAGACACAGAATTTAATATTCACCATCATAATTTTTCCCCTTTAAAATTTTTTAAAATTAAATTTATTGGGGTGACATTGGTTAGTAAAATTATATAGGTTTCCAGTGTACAATTCTAAAAAACATCATCTGTATATTGCATGGAAGGAGAACTGACTCTGGGAGGTAAACACACCATCACAATTTCGAGAAAGTTGGATATATGTTTTTACAACAAGAATCGAAAATATATACTGCAAAGTATATCTCTAATCCTTTGTAGGAAACTACTAAATTTTACTTTCAACATTGTAAACAATGCAATTGACAGCTCAACATTCTGCTGGGGAGAAACAGAACATAAATGTATAATGCTACTGAAAAATATTGGTCCCATTTTCAGAGTTTGTTCTAAAACACCCGCATCTGTAATAGAATGTAAACACATTTAGGGTTGAAAAATCAATGGAAATGTGAAATATGAAAGTATAAATACAAAGGCCTCAAAAACATTTGCAGTCAAATACTTATTTCCCATAACACAGAATATTTCAATTTTAAATCAGAATTTAAGACTACATGTTATTTCTAATATTAATTACTGTTGAAAATGGCAGAATAATACACATTTCAAAAGTTCAAGAAAGACCAAATCTGTTCATTTTAATTATGAGATTAAAAGAAATTGTATGCATTTTCTCTGGAATTGTCTCAAATTCCTACCAGTGTGACTATCTGGAATGGAATCGGAGTTTAGGCTAGTTATTGACAGTGCCAAACCTTGGTCTCTGGCCTTTCAACTACACCACTTATTCCTTCAGGTGTTTTGTTTTGTTTTGTTTTTTTTTAGCTGAGCCATCCTGCCACCTGTTGGCAGCTCAGCAGCTGCTCAGCTCGGGCCGGGACTCGAACCGCTGTTGCTCAGAGCTCAAACTGTTGAGTGAGCTCTTAACCAACTGAGCCACTCGGCTGGCTCCTCAAGTATTTTAATATATCTTAAATGTTTTTAATTTTACAATGTGGACCGATTTTACAAGTTACGCAAATTTTCTTAACTTTTACTTAGTGCCTACTAGTAGTCACTACTACTGACTTCAGACTTCTCTTTTTGTATTTCTCAAAAGAACTACTCGAGTCATAGCCAGAAACACACTGTTTCGCAGCAGACAATACTTCAAAACTTTCCTTATAGCTGGTATGACCATGAGACTCAGCTTTGGCCAATGGGAGGCAAATAGAAGTTATGCATGAAACGTCCAGATCAGGTTCATAAAGAAATTGCTTGCCCTTCCCATGGAAGAGTAGGTACACATATAGGATATATAGTTAGGGTTAGCATGGACCATGTGTATTAGAACAACGCCCTAGGGCAGGGGTTGGCAAACTTTTGAGATGGAAGAGACACCAGGGATTGGCAAACTGCGGCTCGCGGGCCACATGTGGCTCTGAAGTCAAATTGAAAATGAAACTATCATAGCTTCATTTATAATATTACTTTAAATTTTCCTTATTTTAAAAAATATATTTACAGCTCTCGAATAACTTTTAAATTGTGAGGGACAGGATTGGCTCCTCCAGGGGTCGGCAAACTTTTGAGACGGAACGTACCCAAAGAGCCTCATGTGGCTCGCGAGCCGCAGTTTGCTGACCCCTGCCCTAGGGGATGGCAGAGTGACAAAAAAAGAACTAGGTCCCTGAATGATACTGTACAGCAAAAGCACCTACTCACCCTGGACTGTTGTTAGTGAAAGGCACGTAATCTTCTGTGGTTTAGCCATTGCACTAGACTCCTTGTTATAGCAACTTAACAGGTACCCTAACTATTACACCTACTATGTGTCAGGTCCTAATTTAAGTGGGAGAGATGCGGTAGAAAACCAAAAAGACCCAAGTCTGACCTTATCAATTTTGCATGTCTACCTTCGGTGACACTTAGTAACATGTATGGAAAAAAAAAAGTGACAAATGAAGAACAATACTTGGGAGAGGGAACAAAGCCTCGAAAGATTTGGGGTTTTTTATACAATATGATTAAATCAAGATAAATGTATTCTTACTCTGTAAAAAAATTTACAGTTTGGAGCAAAATGTTTTAATGCATGTCACTCATAATGGTAATTAAAGATGATTAATTATATGACTTTGATTTTTCAATTAAATATTTTCTAAAATAGTGTCACAACAGCTAAGATTTTCAAGGTGATAACATTTTTTTAAGGTTCTAGATAGTTATTTCTGAATTTTCTCTTGGTGCCTATGTTTTGTTTGTTTTTTTTCTGGGCATTCTGACAATTCTCATGAAACCAAGAGTTACAGGAGTGGGAACTTGAGAGACTGAGCTAATATTTGTATTCTGCAAGTAGGCAATTAGCAAATAATTCTTCTTTTCAAAGTGTCTTAATCAAAGTTTTGAATAATCTTCAGCCAGGAACAGAGTTTATAAACTCCTTGCCAGGGAACTCTTCTGAACCCTCACTCCTCTCCCAGTTCAATAGAAAGACAGTTTGGGGAATATAATTAATAATGTTGTAAATATTTTTTAGGGGGCCAGGTAGACACATGTCTTGTTAGGGGTAGCACTTTATGGACGGTGTAGATGCTTGATCACTGCACTGTACACCTGAAGCTGATGTTAAATAATATTGTATGTCAACTATAATTTTAATATGTATATAGTCATGTGATGTGGAGTAGAGTGTGGGAATGGAGTCAATGGAATTGTAATAGATATGTATGATATCAGAAGGGGGCAGTGGATTGGGGGAGGGGATTGTCAATTTGTGAGGGATGAAAAGTATAACTATTGCATTGTTTTGTACACCTGAAACTAATAAAAAAATTTTAATTAATTAATTTTTAAAAACAGTGTATGTGGATAGGCTCTAAGATAGCTACATACTGAATTAAACCAAGATGAAAGTAAGAATTTTATTTGATTAACATGTATTAACGGAATAGTGGAAAGCAAAATAAACTTGAAAAAACATACGAGTGAATTTTACACTAACATAGGCTATCAGGGTCTAAATATTTATGTAATGGGCATTTGCTCTATTGTTTGAATATATTCAGTTCTGCTATTAAAGACACAAAACCAAGCAGGATAGAGGAGACTCCTAAGAATTGTTAACACAAATAGCAACTTGGCAGCTTCTGAAATGTGGGCAAAACTCACAGGCTGTGTTAATTATAGATAATGAATAAGGAAGTAACTTGAGAGACACAGGCAGGATTCTGAAGATGTGTTAAATATAGATAGTAACTAAGCTAATAACGTCTAAGATATGTTAAAGATAGACAGAATAGAAAATATGATAGAAGAAATGAGTATTACCTATGAAAAGGGATGAAACCCCAAACCATGATCATGTCACCTCTGGGCTGATAGCTCTGCACCCATGTGATCTACTGTATTTAAGAAATGCAGTAAAACCTATGTTTCTTTAGTAGGCGAATTGGCAAGTTTCACTGCTGACCAGGAGTACTTGCCCCTGCATCTCTCCCATGAAACAAATTAGTATGTGTTTCTGGCCCTTGGCACCTCTGTTTAAATCTCAACTCTTGTCTTTGTTACCACACTGTAAATGGGTAATGCTGATGGAACAGAAAGAGTGAGGCGGGACATGTGTACGCACATTCACATAGTGCGGCTCTGCCACCTGTCCCTACCGGCATCCTATCCCAAGTGTGTTAACCTATCTCATCGTGATCCTCTTACTTCCTGCTTTTTATTTGAACCAGATTAAAACATGCGTGCACACACACACACACACACACACACACACACACAAGTGTAATTTCAGTATCTTAATTTGGTCTGTTAGTCCCCTGGGATAGCTTGGCTGGTGGTGTACCTGGAAGGTTTCAACGCATAAAAGCAATTTCCCACACAATTTAGGTCAAGAGGGGCCATATAATATAGTGGTTAAGAGCACTGTTTTGCAGTCAGGCACACATGGGCTCAAAATAAAGTTCCGCCATTTAAGAACTGCTTACACTTGGGCAAAATGCTCAACTGTCTGAATCTTCATGTTTTCATTTGTAAAACAGAAATAATAACTTCCTGAAGACAAGGTTGTCAAGTAAATGAGTTATGTATTCAATGAGTTCAAAAGTTCTGCCACAATTGGTGATAGCTATTATTGTTGTTGTTAATTCCAAACTCAAGGCTTCACCATTAACTTGTTAACTATCTACATAGTTTGCAAACCTACAAAACAGCTGTCTCAAATGTGTTTAGATATAAAACACAGAGAAATAGTCTTTGCGAAAAATCATGAAATACTGGTATATTCAACTTAACATACCAATGTAGAATTTCCTTCTAAGTTAGATACTATAATTAATACTAGAAATAGAAAAGCAGTGACAGATAAAAAGCATTTTTAGGAATTATTGGGTTGTCAGAAAAGTCATGACGTATTTTTTCTATATTTTTTGTTGCAAAAATGCATCATGACTTTCCTGGCAACCCAATATATAAGATAAATTAAAAATTAAGAAACTTCTATTCACAGCTCTCCCTCCATTATTTAACTTTGGTAGTAGATGAAAACTCACCTAGTGAAAACTCTGACACACTATAGTTTTACAAAATGCTGTCTGGGACAAAAGTTGTAAAAACTTGCAATTTAAAAGAAAGTAAATATTAAAAGTAAATACTGCCTATGAAAACTTCTAGATTAGAACAAATCCTTTTTAGAACATGGAAAGACTTCAAAAATGCAATATCCCTATTTTTTTGTTGTCATTTTCACATTTTTTCCAAAAAAGGAAATAACTTAAAACACAACCAATCAGCCACTCTGGATGCATGACATCACAAATTCAAATTTCATTAGCAGAGCTAAGCATGACTTATCTCTTTCACATTCTATGATATGAAAATGCAAAAGTGTTATTTTAAAAGACTTGTAAAGCATGAATGGGTAGCCTCCCAATAGTAAAAGTATTCAAGATAAAATGATTTTTTAAAAGACACAAACATAAATAGGAATTTCAAGATGAAAGAAATAGGTAAATAATTCCAGAGTGTTTCATATAAAATGTTAAAATTAAAAAAAAAAACTATCTTGAGGCTGAAACTTGGAGGAAGATAATTTTTTAATATTTTGTGTATTGCTCTCAGTTTTCAGTACCCATATTCCTTTAGGGTGAGTTGAATAATGGTTGAGACACCCTTGATAAGTCTGCTGGATAAAGATTAGATCTAGGATAGAAACAAGTATCGTAAACCACAAAGAACAACATAGTGATAAAACCTTCTTCTTTTTTAAATTAAATTTATTAGGGTGACATTAGTTAAGAAAATTATATAGGTTTCAAGTGTACAATTCTCCAATACATCATCTATAGATTGCATTGTGTGTTCACCGCCCCAAAGTCAAATCTCCTTCCGTCACCATATATTTGGTGATTGAAGAAAATAAATAAAGACAATAGATAAACTACAATAGCATTGCGCTTAGCAGTGTCAGAACGAGTTTTCCTTTTTCCTTCACCCTCTTCTACCTCCCTCTTCCCCTCTTCTTACTAAGATTGAGGCACAGGATTATTATCCTCCAAATAACATTCATTAAAAAATTCTGTGTGCTTTTACTTACTTCCGGGCTCAGGACAGCAGTGCTGTCACTCGGCACATCTTCTTCATATCCTTTAGTATGAAAACTTTCTATTTCATGACCTGTGCTTCCTTCACTTGGGCACTTGTTATAGGAGCATCTTGGACTGTTGCTGCAGTGGGAAAATTCACATTTACTGTCCCCAATTTCTGAGGGTGTACATGAGAGATGGGGAGAACCACTGTCATCCTGATACGGTGGTGGCTGCAATTCATCCAGTGGGGGTGTTCTTCTCATTCTCTGAATGCAGTTTCCTGATAATGATTAAGAATCTGGTCACTGTTTTCAATTAGCTTCAACATGCAATACAGTCTACAATAACTGTAAATAATTTTTAAACACTGGATTCAAAATTTGTGGCAATGTAACTATTAGATTTACTAATGAGTTTTCTTCTTCTCTAGTTCAGATGCTGAAATAAACTAATCTGGTTGCCTACTCCTTTCCTACTGAATAAGATCAGGAAGAATAAAAGTCACATATGAAGAGAGATCCTGTTACATACCATAAAAATGAGAGTGTGATAAATATTAGTGAATTACCATATTTATTTTGCTTTTTCTTCCAAAATAATCCTGAAGCATACATACTTCACCTGCACCCTTATGATCTGTGGCCTCTCTAGCCCCAGCAGGTAAAAATACGGTAGGGAAAACAAACATGAAAACTTCATTTATTTTCTTCAATTATTGAGATGAACTTAAACTAGCATTCAGCTTAGCAGAGTCAGAAACTACATTTTTTCACATCTATCCTAGATCCGGAATCCTATGAGGTGCACTGTGAATCAAGGCCTACTCCCCATCCATCAGCAAAGACTGCAGGCTGCATTCCATCCAGTTCCAGCTCCGTTATTGGGGGGTCACTCCCTGCCTCAGTGTAGTCTGCACCCCACTCCTTCTAAAGTGTGGCTCCACCTTGTCCACAGCAGGCATTTCCACCTCCAGCAGTTAACTTGAAACCACGTTTCCTTTCACTTTTAAATTATCCTTTGAATTTTTACCACAATGATTTATCTCAATGACGGAGGTGAACAGGACCGAGGTGATGGCAGGAGGATGTAAGGGAACAGTCCAATATACAAGTTAAGAACAGCTAAGTCTGTGCAGATAAACCCTGAATGCAACGTCAGATATTAAATTTAAACACTGCTCAGTTTTCCTTTCAATGGACTGTGAATCTCCTTTCTCAAAAGGGAACCTGAAAAAAGGTAGTTTGTGTTATAATTCTTATAATGGAGTTCATTTCAAGTGTTCAATAGGTCTTCTGTCCTTCCTCAGATAGAAAAACTACACAAGACTACGAAACTCATTTTGAAGTTATCACAATGCCTGGTTCAAACGAAAAATAGTAATTTGTAGGAACCTAGCCCAAATGTACAAATTTGCTCAGAAGTCCTAATTTTGGAAAAAGAAAATTAAATGCCTTACCTAGTGATTCTGAAATACTAACTTTAGTTTACAAAACATAAGCAAACAATAGAAACATTACTGAAAATAGTTGGAGCTAAATTTGAGACGAGAGGTTAAATAGATACATTGCAAATAATAGCCAATAAGACCCAATATCCCAGGATTCTTTCAGACTGGAGCTTCCGGGAAAGTTCTGTTTTCCTGATAAAAGCAGGCAGACTCAGCTGGGATGCCCTTGGCCCACTGGCCTTTCCCTACCCTCTGCCTGGAGGTGCAGTGCAGCAGCCATCTTTAACCATGAAATCACAAGCCTGGGAATGAAAGCTAAGGATGTAGAAAGAGAAAAATAAAGAGTCTGGTACCTCAAACATCACTAAGTCCCTGTCTCCAAACTTCTTGATGCCTGAGACAAATAAATACCCACTTGTTAAAAACAAACAAACACTAACAAAAAAATGCCCAGCAACAAACAACTGATGGTTGGATTTTCTGTTTTTGCCAAATATATTCTCTGACAGTTTTTAAATCAATACCCTCCCCTCCGTTAAAAATGTATATTTAATCTATTGAATTATAAATGAAATGGTAATACCTAAATATTTCCTGTAACAAGAAGTCGATTAAAAATTCCATAATGTACTGGTTCTAGGAGTCAGCATACCACCTTATCCTTTGCCTTTATTTATTTTTTTTAAGAGAGGTAATCTTTACCAGAAGTCTCTCAGGATATTACTCCACAGATCTCACTGGACAGAACTGAATCACATGTCTATTTCTAAACCAATCTCTGGTAGGGAGAATGAGATTATCATAACCGTCTTAGATTAACCAGAAGCCATCAAATTAAAGCTGGGGATGGGGTCAGTTTCATTGTTCATATCTATATGGAAAAGACTAGATCTCACTCACCAGGGAAAAGAGAGAGAAGACTCAAATAAATAAAATTAGAAATGAAAGAGGAGATATTACAACTGATGCCACAAATACAAAGAATCATGAGACTACTATGAAAAATTAAATGCCAACAAACTAGATCATGTAGAAGAAATGGATAAATTCCTAGAAACATACAACCAAGACTGAATCAGGGGGAAACAGAAAATCTAAACAAACAGACCCCTTGCTAGTAAGGGGTTTAAACCTGCCAACAACAAAAAAAACCCCAGGACCAGACAGCTTCACTGGTGAATTCTACCGAACACTTAAAGAAGAATTAATATCAATCCTTCTCAAACTCTTATAAAAAATAGAAGAGAAGGGAATACTTACAAATTCATTTTACTAGGCTGCCATTATGCTGATACCAAAGCCAGACAAGAATACTACAAGAAAATAAAATTACAGGCCAATACCTCTGATGAATATAGATGCAAGAAACTTCAAACACAGTGGAATTAAACTAGAAATCAGAAACAAAAACATAACTAAAAACTCCATAGAAATCCAGATAAAATAACTAGAAATTAAAATGTTCTTCTAAATAACCTATGGATCAAAGAATAAATCACAAAAGAAAGTAAGAGAAACGAGATAATAAAGAGCAGAAGTCAAATAGAAAACACACATATGAGAGTATTAGCAACCCAAAATAAAATGTGTTGAGAACACTAGTAAAATTGATAAAATTGCCCACCTACACAACTGCATTGCCAGTGGCACTCTGGGCGCCTGGGTGGTTGGCCCTGCCCCACAAGCTGTGGAGGTCTTTTACAGCAGCAGCAGACAATCCATAACGGCCTGGGAAGATTTTGGTGGTGGATAGTGACCAAAAAACTGTTCCACAGCCACTTGGGGGCAGCTTTCGGGAATCTGCTAGCCTGAGGTAGTAGCTGGCTGCAGAGTTCTGGAAGCACTGTGCAAGGTGGTCACAGGCCGGGCACTGGCGTAAGACATGAATCTGCATTAACTTTGTAAAAACTTGTGACTCCCTTGAACTCTACCCCACCCAGCTAGTGCTGTATCGCCAAGAGGACTCTCAACATTGGATCAACCAGCCCAGCCTATGCACCTAAAGAGGCTCTTGCAATGGCTGGGCCTTATGGGCAGCTGGCAGGTGGCAATAAACCTAGGGGGCTCTGGGCCTTTTACTATGCTGCCTCAGGTCCACTACTGGCAGAAGCCAGCCTCAGTTCACAGCGAGGCCACCCCCACATGCCTCCAGATCTAGCACAGGCAGCAGCCAACCACATATAGCTTTGTGGCTCCTACCAGGTAGCCACGGGCCGGTCACAGGCAAGGCTGAAGTTGCCTTGCCTCGACATCCCGCCCAAGAGACACCAGAAAAAAACAGACCCAGAGGCCAGCTTCAGACCACACCATAGTACTACCTGGTTAGCCTCACAGGCAGCACCCTCAAAGGGGGGTCTCAACAGGCACAAGAGCCCATAGGGGCAAAGCCCTCTCCGAGGGGTTAGCTTCACACAGCAGCTCATACACAGTGGGTGTAGCCAATCCTCACAGTCAGATCTTCCAGACAGAAAACCAACAAAGAAACAAGACATTTAAATAACACACTAGATCAGATGGAGCTAATTGATATTTTTAGAGTATTCCACCCCAAAGCAGAATATATATTCTATTCAAATGAATATGAAACATTTTCCACGATAGATCAAATTTTAGGCCACAAAACAAGTCTCAGTAAATTCAAGAAGATTTGAATCATACCCAGTGTCTTCTTGGACCACAATGCTATGAAACTAGAAATCAATTACAAGAAAAAAACTAGAAAACACACAAACACATGGAGGCTGAATAACACGCTGCTGAATAATGAATGGGTCAGCAATGAAATCAAGGGGAAAAAATCAAAAGATGCCTTAAGACAAATAAAAATTAAAACACAATGACCCCAAATCCATGGTACACAGCAAAAGCAATTTTCCAAAAAGGAAAATTCATAGCACTACAGGCCTACCTAAAGAAACAAGACAAATCTCAAATAAACAATCTAACACTATACTTAAAGGAACTAGAAAAAGAATAGCAAACAAAGCCGAAAGTGATAAAAAAGGAAATAATAAAGATCAGAGTGGAAATAAAACACATAGTCTAAAAAAAAAATACAAACGACCAATGAAACCAAGACCTGGTTCTTTGAAAAGATAAACAAAATTGATAAACCTTTAACCAGACTCATCAAGAAAAAAAATGGGGACCCAAAAAAATAAAATCAGAAGTGAAAGAGAAGTGACAACAAATCCACAAAATACAAAGGATTATAAGAAAATACTATGAGAAATTACACACCAACAAACTGTGTAACCTGGAAGAAATGGATAAATTCTTAGAAATATACAATCTTCCAAGACTGAATCAAGAAAAAAAAAGAAAATCTGAACCAATTAATCACTATGAACGAAATAAAATCAGTAATCAGAAACTCTCAACAAACTAAAGTCCTAGACTAAATGGCTTCACAGATGAATTTTACCAAACATTCAAAAAAGAATTAACACCTATTCTTCTCAAACTATTCCAAAAAATTCAAGAGGAGGGAAGTCTCCCAAGTTCATTGCACAAGGCCACCATTACCCTGATTCCAAAACCATACAAAGACATTACAAAAAAATGAGAAGTATAGGCCAATATCCCTGATGAACATAGATGCAAAAATCCTCAAGAAATTATTAGCAAACTGAATTCTGCAATACATGAAAAAGATCATATACCATGATCAAGTGGGATATATTTCTGGGATGCAAGGTTGGTCCAATATCCACAAATCAATTAACATGATACACCATATAAACAAAAGATAAAAATCATACGATCATATCAACAGATACAGAAAAAGCGTCTGACAAAATCCAGCATCCACTTATAATAAAAACTCTCAGCAA